TTATGAACACCAGTAGGACAGATACTGTAGTGTCTAAGTAGGAAGTTCTACCTGCCTGAGTAGACTGAATATTGCATGAAAATTCTTAGCTGAATAGTTCACGACAGTTATGTCAGTATGTGTGTGTTGGGGGCACATTGGTACACACGGGATAGGGCTGTGAGAATGATGCAGTAGATCGGTAGAGTTTTCTAGACTAAATAGAAAGTACGTGTATTTTCTACACAGTTAAATATAGACTACCTATTCTCTCTGTATAAGTACTCTATATAAATTCTCTCTCTATATAGTACATATATAGCTAAATAGAGAATACATGTACTAAATGCACAGCTAAATAGAGAATATATACATATGTATATTCTATGGGGATATATATATCTGCATACAGTGTCATTTCATATCCATTTTGGTGCTAGTGTTTGGAAATAGCATTTGTTACCTAAATTTGGTTAAGGGGAAAATAGAGTAGGAGTGATACAGCGTTTTGCATGTGATAAAATTTGCTAAAATTACACATTATCGCTTTTCGTCTTACCCCTTTTTAACTTGTAAAAATCACTCAATATTTTATTTCATGTCTGAAAGTGTTATTTCTTGTATTTTTATTTTTTAGTCTTCCCCTGCTTATTTATCATTCCATAATTCTTGTTTATACATATGTACACAAAAAGGTATGAAAGCACAATATGAAACAACAAACAAAAAAATCTCAAGTATGTGTAATACAATCCAAAATACTGGATATCCACAGAAAAAGACACGGGGAAAAGCGCATATCTGGACTCAGAATTAAGATACATTTCCCTATGAGAACTACAGAAATATCCTCAAAAACGGGGAGAGGAGAGTTGGTGGCCTTTGGAGGGGTTTAGAGCAAGCTGGAGCACACAAAGAATGATCAAGAATCTCAGAATAAAGGAGGATTTTGGTTCGGTCACTCCGTCGTGAACGACTCTTTGTGACCCCGAGGACTGCAGCACGCCTGACTTCCCTGCCCGCCCCTGTCTCCCGGAGTCTGCTCAGACTCAAGTTCTTCAAGTCAGTGACGCTATTTAGGAAAGATTAGAAAGATGAAGGTTTTTCCCTAGAGGTGAGCAGGATCAGGTGAGATAACCTTAGGGAATTTGCAAAGTGCCAGAATCCGAAGGGACTATTAATAATGAAGACGGGGCTGAGGGCTTCAGGGAGACAGGAGGTAGAAAAGAGTCCAAAAGCTTTGACAGGAGCAGAGCTGAAGTCAGGCTGAGGCAAGGTCCTGCTGCCACTGCAGAACCGCCTCTAGTTTACAGCCTAAGCCAAACCATGGTTCCCTGCTTAGTGAAAAACAGTGAAGAAACACCTGAGGGCTTCCCCGGTGTGCTAGTGGTCAAGAATCCACCAGTCAGTGCAGGAGACGTGAGCCGTGGATTCCACCCCTGGGTCGGGAAGACCCCCGGAGGAGAGCATGGGGATCTTCTCCAGTATTAACCCACTCCAGTGCTCTTGCCTGGAGAATCCCACGGACAGAGGAGCCTGGCGGGCTGCAGCTCTTGGCGTCACAAGGCTAACCGGGGCAGGACTTGGATCCTCTCACCGGCCTAGGTCCTGCAGGGCTCTGCCTCTGCCGACAAGGACGCCCCCTCCACGCAGATCCTTGCCCTCTGGCTGCGGCTTTGTCTAGTGACCCTTTGAAAACCTGACTCCCAGTTGAGTCACAGAGGCTTTGCTTTCCCCCTCCTCACTCCCACTGCCCCGGAAAAGTCACCAGAATTGTGCGTTTTGAAGTTAGAAAGGGAGAGCCGCCCCTCGGTGTGGGCCCCTTGAGAACCTCCGGGGGCCTGAAGGCGAAGGAGAGGCGGCGCGACCATGAGGCCAGAGCGGAGAAGGGAAGGGGCCGGAGGCCTGGCCACCGCTGGGGCAGGTCTGCAGGGCGGAGGGCGGGTGGCCGCGGGGTCTTCAGCTGTGGGCACATTCCCAGAGCAAGTGAGAGAAGGCTTCCCAGGACGTGGGCAGGAAGTGTGACAACTTCCCCTTTTCTTTCTCCTTCCCAGGTGGCGCAGTGGTAAAGAATTCCCTTGCCCATGCAAGAGATGCAAGAGATGCGGGCTCGATCCTTGGGTCAGGAAGACCCCCTGGCGAAGGAAGTGGCAACCTGCTCCAGTATTCTTTCCTTAAGAATCCTATGGACAGAGGAGCCTGGCGGGCCACCGTCCTTGGATCACAATGAGTCGGACACGACTGAGCAGCTGAGCATGAAGGCACAGTGATGAACACAGTGACCTGATACCTTTAGTGCTACCTGCAGTCTTTGGGAGGGGGTCTTAGGGCAAGAGCAGGAACTGTGTATGTTTAGAAGGAAGGATTTACTTTGGCATCTTTGCTTATTTGAATGTTTCCAAGGATGTGATTGGTGTGTTATAGTTGCCCTGTTAATTGCACACATACATTATAAATCTACTTGAACCATTATAAGATAAACAACTGGATCAGGTAGATTCCTACCAAGAAACTGAAGACTAAACCCTGTGCAAAAACCACCAAAAAACCCAGAAAGGAATAGAACTGAATCCACTTCTGCTCCCAGACAAACTCGGGAGGTACAGACAAACAATGATGATCACCTGGATCTGACAAGATCAGCCAAAGTCAATTGTCATCCTCAAAATGACTACATGACGCAGACATACATACATTTTCATTAATGTTGGTCCTTGAAAAAAAAAAAAAGTGAATTGTTAGCTGTTCAGTCATGTCCAATTCTTTGTGGCCCATGGACTGTAGCCTGCGAGGCTTCTCTGCCCATGGAATTTCCCAGGCAAGAATACTGGAGTGGGTTGCCATTACCTCCTCAAGGGGATCTTCCCAACCCAGGGAGTGAACCCAGGTCTCCCACATTGCAGTCCCAGGGACTGAACCTGCGTCTCTTGTCTCTTGCATCAGCAGGCAGACTCTTTACCATCAGCGCCACCTGGGAAGTCCCAGAAAGGATGAGATTTCTGGAAAGTGGAATTGGACAGGATGACAGGCAGTGATGAGAACCTGGGACCAGGGCAGGTGGTTCAAGATGCCGCCATTTGATGGGATCAAAAGAGAAGGCTGGGGAGGTGGAGGAAGACAGGGGCGTGGTGGCCCGGACAGTGCGTTTTGGCTCTGTCTGTGCTCACCTGGTGCCTAGCCTTGAACCTGGGCTTCCCTTGTGGCTCAGCTGGTAAAGAACCTGCCTGCAATGCAGGAGACTGAGGTTCAGTCCCTGAGTTGGGAAGATCCCTTGGAGGAAGGCACGGCAATCCACTCCAGTATTCCTGCCTGGAGAATTCCTGTGGACAGAGGAGCCGGGAGGGCTACAGTCCATGGGGTTGCAAAGAGACGGACACGACTGAGTGACTAAGCACAGCACAGCACAACATTGAACCTAGGAAATAACAACATCTGCTGAGGAAAAGTGATTCAGGTCTCAGCAGAGTCTAGGGCTGTTTTATTATTATTTTTTTTTAAAAAGGCAAGAAAGAAGCTTGTCCTCAACCATGGCAGTTACTGAAAATAACTTCTCTTGCAAAAATATGGACTTTCTAAATTAAGAGAAATGGTTTTTGCCCTTTGCTTCTTTCACATTCCTGAGATCACTGTTATATAAGCAGTAAGGTTCTCTCCTGTAAAAGCCTAAAGAGCCATTAATAGATTTTTGCCACTTACTCAACATTCTTTTCCCATTTTCTGTTAAAAGAGCCTTGGTTTTTCTTTTGGAGGCTCATTCCTCTCTTTAATCAATTCATGCAAAGTGTGGTCCATCTTTTGGCTCCGTGAGTGGACGTGTGCAAGACCCAGGACTAGACAATAAGAGGACTGCTTCTCCTGGCCGTGGTACTTTGTTTAGAGAGGAACACAAGTGAGGCCAAGAGAGATAAACTTGGAGGGTATCTTGAAATGATGCCAAAGAGGCTCTTTCTGATGGGGTGGCTAAAATGACAAAGTGTAAACCCATAAATGCTGGAGGTCCTATCTTAGCAAAGCCTGTCTAGAAGTGATGCCAAGCCAGAGAAAAACAGAGTCTACTGCTAGAAAACATCAGATTCTTAATAACATTACCTGTGGGCCTAGATCAAGCCAGACCTGAAACCAACACAACCGTGGACTTTTATGTCCCAAAAGCCAATAAATTTCCTTTTCTCCCCTTGGTTGGTTCTTCTGTTACTGCCCACACACAGAGTTCTGTATTCCCAGGCCCTGGAATCATGCTGAGAGTGGGTGGATCCTCTTCTGTTGCTGCCTGGGAAGTTGCCCCTGATGCTCGTCTGCTCCAAACAGAAATAGTGCAAGAGCCCAGTGATGGCAAATGATGGGTTCCTAGGACAGAAGCTGGTCCTAGTCATCCTTCTTTAAGGTAAAGAAACATTGACTTGAGAAGGGATACATGTTTTTAAGGTTACTGTGAAACTTTGAACACTTTCAAAAAATTACCTTCCAATTTTCCCTTTCTATTTCTTTTCTGAGGACAGTGGTAAGAAAAGCTGATGTGGTTGTTCTAACTTTGCATCTTTTCCACTTTCTTATTTCCTTTGAACTCAATTTGGTCTGCATTCATTCCACAAATATTTACTGAGCATCTACTCTGTGACCAGCCCAGTGCCAGCCCTTTTAATTCATCAGCGAACAAAACTCCAAGATTCTTTTTCTCCTAGAACTTACATTGCAGTCTGTCTGGGGATACACAGCATATATAATAAACATAACAAATAGGCAAATTAGATAGTATTTTAGTGACGAGGGGGAAAGTAGGGAAAACAAGAACAGAAAAAACAGTGAGAAGGATCAGAATTCCTGGGAATAAGAGCGGTTGCAATGAAACAGGTAAACTGAGAAAATGAGATTTGAACAAAGACGCAAAGGAATCACCCAGGAGATCTGGGGAAGGGATTCCCCGGAGGGTGAGGAGCCAGTGCAGGTTCCCCAGGGCAGCACAGGCCTGGCGAGGAGGCCGTGGGGCGGCAGCAAGAGAGGAGCGTGGGGAAGAGAGGAGGATGCACGGAGGGGAGAGGTCACCGACGGGCGTCACGTCGGAGCGGGGTCTCACTGTGGGCCAAGGAGAAGTCGTGGGAGAGCGTCAAGCAGAAAGGGGTGTGATCGACTCATATCTGAAAAGCATTAGTCTGGCTGTGGAGTTGAAAATGAAGTCCAGAGAGGCAAGGATGGATACGGAGATGCTGGTGGCCCGCACCAGGGTGGGGGCGGTGGAGGTTTGGGATTGACATATGAACACTCAGTTCAGTCAGTTCAGTTCATTCGCTCAGTCCTGTCCAACTCTCTGCGACCCCATGAACTGCAGCACGCCAGGCCTCCCTGTCCATCACCAACTCCCGGAGTTTACTTAAACTCATGCCCATCGAGTTGGTGATGCCATCCAGCCATCTCATCCTCTGTCATCCCCTTCTCTTCCTGCCCCCAATCCCTCCCAGCATCAGGGTCTTTTCCAATGAGTCAACTCTTCACATGAGGTGGCCAAAGTATTGCAGTTTCAGCTTCAGCATCAGTCCTTCCAATGAACACCCAGGACTGATCTCCTATAGGATGGACTGGTCGGATCTCCTTGCAGTCCAAGGGACTCTCAAGAGTCTTCTCCGACACTACTATATATAAAATAGATAACCAACTAGGACCTACTGTATACCACAGGAAACTCTAGTCAATACTCTATAATGACCTATAGGGAAAAGAATCTGAAAAAGAACAGACACATGCACATGCATAATGGAATCACTTTGCTGTATCCCTGAAACTAATGCAGCATTGTAAATCAACCATCCTCTAATATAAAATAAAAATTAAATTAAAAAAATATTGCCAGAATTACCAAAATGTGAGGCAGAGACCCGAAGTGAGCAAATGTTGTTGGAACCTGGTGTCAAGAGACTTGCTTGATGCAGTGTTGCCAGAAGCCTTCAACATGTAAAAAACACAGTACCTGTGAAGTGAAATAAAACAGAATTAAAAAAACAAAGGCTGCACCATCAGATTTGCTGACAGATTAGACGTGGGACAGGTCAGAAACAGCCAAGGAAGAGGTAAGGTTGAATCACTAATTGTTAGAGAAACGAGGATTCACCTCACACTGGTCAGAAGGACCATCATCAAAAAATCTACAAACAGTAAATGCTGGAGAGGGTGCAGAGAAAAGGGAACCTGCCCACACTGTTGATGGGAATGTAAATTGGTACATCCACTATGGAGAACATTGTGGAACAAGACTAAAAAATAGAACGACCATGCGCGCGTGCTGTCGTGTCTGCCCACCAGGCTCCTCTGTCCATGGGATTCTCCAGACAAGAATACTGGCGTGGGTTGCCATGCCCTCCTCCAGGGGATCTCCCCACCCAGGGATCAAGCCTGCATTTCCCGTGTCTCCTGAAAGCGGGTGGGTTCTTTACCACTGAGTCACTAGGGAAGCCCAGAACTACCATCTGACCCAGCGATTCCACTACTGGGAGTATGCCCTGAGAAAACCATAACCTAACAGACACATGCGCACACACGCTTCAGTGTTTGTTGCATTAGTATTTATAGTAGCCAGGACATGGAAGCAACAAGCTGTCCATCAACAGAGGAATGGATAAAGAAGATCTGGTACATATATACAATGGAATATTACTGAGCCATAAAAAGGAACAAAACTGGCTAATTTGTAGAGAAGTAGATGGACCTACAGACTGTCATACAGGGTGAAATAAGTCGGAAAAAGAAAAACAAATATCATGTGTTAACAAATACCATGTATGTGGAATATAGAAAAATGGTACAGATGAACCTATTTGCAGAGCCGAACAGAGTCATAGAGAACAAATATATGGACACCAAGGAGGTGAAAGACGTTGGATGAACTGGGAGGTGGGGATTGACATATATACCCCGCTATGTATAAAACAGATAATGAGTGAGAACCTACTGGATGGCACAGGGAATTCTACCCCTTGCTCCGGAGTGACCTAAATGGGAAGGAAATCCCCCAACGAGGGGACGTGTGCACAGATAACTGATGTCCCCTGCCGTACAGAAGCGACTAACACAAGACTGTAAAGCGACCTACCCTCCAGTAAAAACCATGCATTAAATGATGCAGGCTGAGCGTTTGCAAGGATAGAACGGCCGTGGGCTTGCGAAGGCAAAACTGGGGAGGGCGCCGCTTTCAGGAGAACGCTGACCACTCGGGGAGGCAGTCGGAGATGACGGGTGGACAGCTGAGCTCTCGGTTTCAGGAAATAGGTCTGGCCTGGAAAGACAGATTCCCGAGTTGTTACCATCTAGATGGTAATTGCAACCTCACTGGAAACTTCCTTATGTTTGATAAGGTCTTTCTTACCAAACAAGCTTCCTATAACCCTCCTGACTTTCCTTGCAAAGAGAAGCTGAGAGCATGACGCATTTGGAAAGGACACAGGCTTTGGAGCTGACGGCTCTGAATCAGCGCTGTGCCCTGCTCTCTTCATCAGGGGGTTTGGGCAAGACCCTCAGCTCCCGGAGTTGCAATTTCTCTATCTGAAAACTTGGGTGATACCTCTCACTTCTCATGGATGCTGAGCTCATGAGATTAAGTGATGCCTGTCAACCTCCTGGCACATAGTAGGTACTTAACAATTAATTTTCTTCCCCCCTTTTAAAGCTACCCTGGGACTTCCTGGTGGTCCAGTAGTTAAGACTCTGTGCTTTCAATGCAGGAGGCACAGGTTCGATCCCTGGTTGAGGAACTAAGATCCCACATGCAGTCAGGCACGGCCAAACAAATGAATAATAATAAAAGCTGCTGTGGATGCTAACCAAAACCAGCAGCTCCATTCTTGATTCTTTGGCCCAGCATCAGCGTCACCTGGGTTCTGGTTCAAAATGCAAATTCTCAAGCCTTCCATCTGGGACCCAGTTCAAAAATCTCAGGGTGGGACCCCACAGTCTGTTTAAGCAAGGCCTGCAGGCAATTCTGGTAAATGATAGACTTTGGGAACCTCAGCTTTAGTTCATAAACTTTTATTCATGAGTTCCCACCTGACCCCTGAGCTCACCTGTTTCTTTCTGTTCATAGCTGCCAGTTGTCAGAAAAATAATTGATTTTGCTCCAGGTTCATTTTACTTATCCTTTCGACCTGACCCCCCAGTGGAGTCCAGACTTAACACTTCCAGTTCTCTCCACAAGAAATGAAACTGGTCTAGAAGATGCTCAAACTCAACTCGGTTACAACCACCCACTCTTCCCCACCTCCACCCCCTTCAAAAATAAAAACCAACTTCCCTCTCTCCTCCCCGTTCCCTGTTTTAATAATAGAGAAAACTGTTTGCCAAACGTTCACTGTATGTGCACATGGCAAGTCTTGTGGCTTCTTGCTCCTCCCTGTAAGTACAGAAGGCAGGACGAACATGAGAGCCCACTTAACAGACAAGGAGGTGAGGATTAGGGAAATGAAGCAGCCAACTGGAGGGGATCTGGTTTGTGCTGGTCAGGGGCACCGAGGGAGGCCGCTGCTGGAGGCAGGAGAGGGACCCACTCTGCCGCGCTCTGCTGGGAGGCAGACCCCAAGGTTCTGGCCAGGAAAAGGGCTTCCCCTTTATGCAGAGAGGGACTGTGTGTGTGTGTGTGTGTGTGTGTGTGTGTGTGTGTGTGTTCCTCCAGGTGCAAGAAAATTGAATTACGTCATCTCCTGGCAGGGAGTTAGGCCCTAATCAAGGAACTTTAATTCCTCTCTTTAGAGTCCTGCTCTCAACCAATCCTACCTTGCACTATTTTAAAATTAATTTAACTGGAGTATAGCTGATTTACAATGTTGTGTTAGTTTCAGGTGTACAACAAAGTGAAGCAGTTATGCATATCATATATCCATTCTTTCTCAGATTATTTCCCCATGTAGCTTATTACAGGATATTGAGTGGAGTTCCCTGTGCCATGCAGGAGGTCCTTACTGTCTGTTTATACACAGCAGTGTGTGTTTGTCAACCCCAGACTCCTCATTTAGCCCTCCCCCAGCCGTTCCCCTTTGGTAACCATAAATTTGTTTTCTAAGTCTGGGAGTCTGTTTGATAGATAAGGACATTTGTATTATTATTTTTAGATTCCACATAGTGATGCCGCCCCTGCTCTGGGGGAACGCCGGGCCCTTTGTCTCCATGGAGCCATCAGTGGGGCTTCATAAATAGGTTGTCTGCCGCTCGATGTTATGGTTATTAGTTTGTTTCTCTCTGACTGTCTTTGGGGATATGGAAATGAAGATCTGTTTTCCTCATTCCTTGGGAAAAGGAGGGTTTAGTTCTTTAGTTCAACTCTTTAAATATATACAACACAATTATTTAAGGAACAAGTAGGAGTTTTCATAAGGAGGGTTACGTGGTAGAATAAATTCAGAGACACGGAGGAGAGGATGAGCGTAGCAAAAAACAGCAGCAGAGTGGATACTAAGGATGTCTGCAGTGTAGACTGTGGTCGTCTGCACTCGCGATGGGTGAGCCGTGAAAAGCAACTATTCATGAATGCCTCGGCCCAGCCTGACTTCACTGCACCATCATGATTTCACCCGGAAAGCTGGCAGTCTTCAGAGCACCATCGGATCTACTCCTCTGCCCCAGTGGGGAAAGTCCCCGCGGAGGCCGGGGCTGAGCCGCGCTGGAGGCTTTCTCCCCGCGCTGGAGGCTTTTTCCCCGCGCTGAGCCGGGAGCTGGCTGAGCGCCTGGTCTTCTGCTCCCTGCTCCCGGCGCCGCACCAGCAGAACACACAGGCCATTTGGAAACGAGTGATCTCCTCAGCTGTCAGAGTACATTTTCCCCTTTTAATCGATGCATCAAAGGCTTATTCTTTGGAAAGTTAGCAGTCCCAAGAGGATATGATCCAACCCGAGTTACTCGGAGGGATTGGTTCCAGTGAGAGAGTGTTCCTTAAAATAGAAGGGGATTTTCACTTTGCTGACCTGCAGGTTTTCCCCTCTTCTTAGTCACAGAGGTGGTGCTCTCGCTGACATGTCCTTCCTCCCCCTTCTGCTTCCTGACTCGTTAAAAAAACACCAGGGAGTGGACTTCGTGATTTAAAACATTTTCTTCATGCGTTTGATGGAAGCTTGGTATTTTCTGTTGACAAACATTTAGGAGTCTAGTAGCTCTACCCCTAGTAGTTCTGTGTAGATGCTGTTTGTGGAGTGTGGGGACAGATCACATATTCAAAGTGATGCTGAAATAAAAAACAAAAACCTGTGGACTCTGGCTTGTGGTGAAGGAGCTGCCT